CAGCAGGAGGAAAAAAACACTCATATGCAGATGCAGATGCAGTGCCCGCGGTCACAACCTCTGCCCAGAAAGAGCACAGGGACCAGAGTGAAGGGTGCAGGAGGGAAGGCGGGCAAACTGCCCAGGGAGGGACCATGGTCCTGGACAGGCCAGGAGCTCTGACCCGAGCATCCTAGTCCCCCAGCCAAGATGCTTTTCTTTCCTTAGCAGCCTGTGACACAAAAGCACTAATCATCTATTTTTCAACAGTTTCAAGTAGACACCCTGACCCTAGGGCTGCTCTAATTGGCAATGACCACCACATCAATGCCGTGGGATGTCATCATCCCTTCTGGGTGACTGGCCAGGCTGCTGAACTCTAGGACACTGGCCCAGAGTCCTGTTCTAAAGCGCCCTCAGGTCCTAATTTTATGTCCTATGTTTGTCCAGAAAGACTTCGTGTCCAAAAGAAGACTCCTCAGTTCTCCAGGAACCGCTCTCACTGCCTCAATGTGACGTCAAAGGAGAGCAGCTCAAGACACCAGAACTAATGTAAAAAAAAAAGTCTGCTAGGGAAGCCCATGTGGTCAGACACCTTCCACGCCAGCTGCTCTGACAACGCATCACTGTGTAAGAAAGGAGGTAGCTGTCCTTTCCACCCCAAAACAGCAGGCAAGTAGGGCTCCAGGACCAATCAACATGGCAAAAACTATCTTGCATTTCCTTAGCTGATTTTGGTGCTAGCAGACTTTAGACAGAGTTAAACAAACCACACTCAGGAGTACATATCTTTTAAAAAAGGAGTGCATTTTTTTATAGGAACATTCTAGCTCTTTTGTCCTTTCTTTGGTGTCCCAACTTTTCAGGAGACAGCCAGGACGGGCAGGGTGAGAGTACCCACTACACACAAACGGAATCTCTTACAACCAATTGGCCCTAGTTAAACATTTTTTTCCAGGTACTTTTAGTTCATCACCCGATTTATTGCATGTTCATGTTATAAAAGTGACAGGTGCTCAACATAGTGATTTAAAATAAACAGAAAAGTAAAGAGGAAAAAATGCTATTCATAATATCATGGCCTGACGTTGAGATTTTGGTGGCTGTTTTTCTGGTCTTTTCCATATGGAATGTAATTTACTTTTCAGTAACATCATTTTGTATACTTTGCTTACATGTTAATACTTTTATGTCATGAAATTTATGCCAGGTGATTAAACAGCCCTTATAAATTATAGGAACTTAAAGACAATATCAAAACAATGAGACCACAAGACAAAGACCACCTACTGAATTTTTTTTTTTTTGGCACGAGATTGGGAGTTTTTGTAAACCATTAGGCTTATTGAACACTATAAACCATAAGCTTTGAAAGAATTTTGGAAACATTAACAGGATAATCTGTAGAATATAGAGTTGAAAAATCATAAAAATAATTTGCTCCTTTCTCCCCCTAAGATCTGTATTGGCCAAGCTATTTCTTAGGAGGAGATGTGCTGGTCAGGAATCTGGTACTATTTTGTAGCTTTCAACACTGTGTTGAAGAATATATAAGTACAATGTCATTAAAGAGAGGCAAGAATGCATATGGGGCTTACTGGAAGGGAGGAAAACTTAGCTACCTACAGGAAGGTGGAAAACACTAACAACGCGGCAAAAGTCTCCTGGTTCACCAGCTGAGGAACCATGTACTCGGTGCCTCCACACAAACAGCTGGGGGAAGTGAAATGTATTAGTCATGTGTCTACCCAGCTAGTGGTATTTATTGTTATCATTTTATTGTGGTGATCAATGGCAATGAAAGGAGTCACTAACTAGAACACGAAGTAATTACACGGTAGAAAAATTTGGCCTGTGGGTAAAGATGGAAAGTAAAAATAAATAGAAAACTAAGTCTGGAGAACCTGGACTCCCGCATTTCCCCATGTGACCTCCCCAAATTAGCAGTACGTTTATTGCTGGAGGAGGGACTTGCTTGTGTCCTGATTCTCCACTTTTGGACCTACTGTGTGGCCAGAGGGGTGCCTCTCCGAGGACACACTAAGAAGGGATTTCTCCCTTTGTTATAAAGCCCAGAGCCCTGGTGTGGTTTCATTTACTACAGTCCATCATGAGGCCTATGGGGAAGGACCGGATCTTATTTATCTCCATGTGGTTTACAACACTGCATGCAAGCTGTGGGTATGAATGAATGAATGAATGAACACTGCGGGAAAGCCGGGCAACTTTCTAACTTTGAGGGCACAGTTTGGGCTTTCCTTCTGGAGTGGATACATGAATATGTATTTCACATGCTGAGTAAGAGTCAGAGTGATTCATCACGCTGGGATTTTCCCACCAGTGGGAGCCAGTCTGTCCCTTCTCCTTCAGTCAGCTCAGCAGGAAATCACTACTCCATGTCTCCCATCCGGAGGATGAATGTTAGAAGCACTTTAGAGACTGTGGCAGGGTCCAGAATGGGGTCACGTAAAAGTAAATACCAGCCCTTATTAGGCAGTCCCGGCCTCCAGCAGTGCCTTTGCACCAATACACACACTTCCAGCTCCATCAGAGAGCAGACTCCTCAGGCCACCGCCTCCCGGGGACAGTTTCCTGACCCCCGGAACATCTAGTCCTTCCATGCTCTGTCACTGCCATGCATCGCCCCGCTCTGCTGTGGCCACAGGGGGGCGCCGTCCAGCACCGGGGCAACAAGGGGCAGAGGGCTCTGCTCAGGATACCAGAGGCCTGAAGGTGCTCCTTGAGGAACAGCCTCCACATTTACTTTCTAACTGGCCACACGTCGGAGGGGAGCAGAGGGATGGATGGACTGTCCACACACGAGCTGTGGCTGATGCTCTGATTTCCCACAACTGGTCTTACATGGTGTGGATGTGGTGTTACTGACTGGCGGGGAGAAGATCCATAGCCTGTATCTGTTTAGTGATCCCACATATTTTAAATTATATTATGATTTTTATTTAATGACTGCTGAATGTTAAGAAATTGATTATCATTTATTAAGTCACAATTTTTATGTCACACCATTTTCTTTGATAACTGACTTTCATCTACCTGTATGAGCTGTAAGCTGCCTGGAGTGGACAAAGCGGCTTCATTTTGGGGTTCTCTGTAGCACTGAGCACAATGACTGTGCACACTGGCTGAATGAATGAACTAATCTGTTGGGTGAACAACTCTGGGATTTTGAATCTGTACAGGACAAGACAGGACAGACTATGAGCTACGCTGATTGCCCCTCTGGTGTGCCCACTGCTTCATGCTTCATGTGGGTACTGCATGGCCCTTTTTCTCTCGGGGTCTGGTCTCTCTGGGCCTATACAACAGGTGAATTCTTACTCCTAAGCACACACCTTCAACTAAAGCCCAGGAGAACTTTAGCATGGAGGGGCTGCCATCACTGAGGCAGGCCATTCTAAGGAATATTAAAGCAAGCTCTTCTCAGTACATATTTTTGTTAATTGAGTTATAACTAAATTACACTCAATAAAATTCACCCGTTGCAGGGGTATAGGTCTGAGTTTTGACAAATGTATATTGTCATGGAACCACTACCACAGTCAAAATATAGAGTATTTCCATCACCCCCAAAAGTCCCTTTTGCAGTCAGTCCTCTCTACCTCCCGCTCCCCCTGGACCACTGATCTGCATTTTTTACCTTTAGTTGTGCCTTTTCCAAAATGTCATTCAGTACCCATTTTATGTGAACCCTTCTTCCTTTATCAACACTGTTGCTACCCTCCCCTAATTGGAAACCCCACCACCACTTCTCAGCCTCCCCACTCCATCCAACTCCAGCCACGCCGGGAAGGGTACGTCACGTCTCCTGTGCCTTTTGAGTTGAAACTCACTGTTTCCCCAGCGAGAGGCTGAGCCTTCACGAAGCATTCTGGACTCTCCCCTTCCACACACTCCCTGCTCCTCCCCAGCCCGGGCAGAACTAGCTGTCGCCACCCCTGTGGTGTTAGGGTGTTCACAATGCCAGCATCTCCTCTTCTCGATGCCTCTGAGCTGTTCAAACCCACACTCCTCACACCTCCGCTCTTAGCGTCGGTGCCTCATCATATGCAGTAAGAATTAAAAAACACTTACTGAAAACGTACTGCCTAATAATATATGAAATATCTGTGAATATCAAGGTAAGAATTCTGTACGTTTTATGCACTTTTTGCCTATCCATTGCTTGTTTACATAATAATAGAGCCACTTGGTTTATTATGAACACTGCTATGTTTCCCATTTGGGCCTGGATCAGTTTTTAACAACAATGATTATTGAAAACTTTTGTTTTAAATCTAATCCAGGAGCATTCCCATGATGAAAAGTAAAATTTCAGCCACTGATGGTTCCCAAGGGAGAACATCGTATCATTCATTGTGTGGGGCACTGAAGCATTTTCTGTACGAAGCCCATCATCATGGATTTCAAGTGCTTTAATAAGTTTTCATTTCTTTGCTATCTCTCTTCCACCCAGAGAGAACCTGAAACAACGTAATAATCATCCTACAGCAATGCAGTCCCATTACAATAATGCCAAAACCCAGAACTCATGTGACTCACAGACCTTCCCGCGTGATGTGCTGAGAAACAGGGTAGAAAGTGAAACACCGGTTTCCCCAGCCCTCGGTGGGGGCTGAGGTGGTCCTGCCTGGCATGAGCAGTCGCCTCTGTCTACCCCACATTTCAGTGAGATCTTACCATTTTGAATGCAGCGATGTGAAAAAGACCAAGAAGCACGATTCTAAACCAGGAGACTGAATTCTGCCCAGTCATTCTCTTCCGTGTTCTATACCCAGAATCAGTTTTATGACTCAAGGGATCATGAACACGATAAAAAAAAAAAAGAGGAAAATCCAAACCACAACGGCAGAGTGTTTTTATGGTGGAAGGAAATGTTTAGAAAAGTAGCAAATACCACTAATTGCTTCCCAATACCTGACGTGCAGGGTGCTGGCCAAACATAAGGATTTTAGGCATCATGACAGTACAGATGGAAGAAGTTTCTGGAGGATATTACTCACCGTTCCAACCAGAGGGTAAATGAACCCAGCGCCTATGCTGGCCCGCACATCACTGATGGGCAAAACGAAGTCCCTGGGTACACCTTTCTTGTCGGGTTGGTGAGAAAGAGAAAGGTGGGTCTTTGCCATGCAGATGGGCAAATTTCCAAAACCCTGTGAGGAAGGAAAGGAAATGTGTTCACTGAGTATAAATGTTAGTCCCCTGTACTCGTTTAACGTGACTACACACAACCCCCGCAGCTCAGGTCCAGGCACACAGCAGGGACTCGTCACCACCTGTTCACTGAGCAAGAAGATGGGACATTCATCTCCACATGAACACCTCCTGGCAGGCTGAGGATGTCTACTGTTTACTTCGGAGAACTCTCTTTATGGGAAGGCAGCATTATGTTTGTGTTTGGGGGAAAGTGTGGTTATTCTCAGGCAAAGCAGCAGCAGCAGCTGTAGAAATCACTTTCCAAGGATATTAATATCCGGGACTCAGAAAGGTAATCTGGAGAAAGGCTTCGTAATGAGGCTTTTAGTCACGTTGCTCACTCATTCTTGGAAGCTGTCAGGAAGGAAAGGGCCCCTTTGTGTTGGTTTATGAATCATGGCTATTTGAGCTGCAATTACATTATAGGAACTAAGATGAGGTCACTATTTAAGCCGCTTATTTTTAAGGACCAAAGGCTTTGCCTGACCCAGCCGAGTTCCAAAGGTGAAAGAGCAGGAAGCTGCATGTGGTGTCTCACAAAAGGGATAGTGTCCTCACAGCCTGGTTCTGATTAAAGGGTACATAGTGGCCCTTTAGAGACTTTGCTAATTAAGGGCAACCACATACTTGACACATAACTTTTAAGCAATATTCCCTCAGTAGATAGAGATAAAAGGAATACAATCTTCAGAGGTGACCCGCACAGAATTTCTTATGATTCAACTGAAAACTATTTGAAATTTTTTTGAGTATCATCATTTGGGGGTGAGGCTCTTTTCTTTCTGAAATGCTGTAATACTCTTATATATGGGCCAGAAATCACTCAAATATTGAAATAATTTTTTAATTTTAATTTTATTTTTTAATTATAGTTTGTATTCAGCACTATTTTGTATTAGTTTCAGGTGTATAGCACAGCAGACACTGGAAATAACTTTAATAAACTGATGTAGGTTTGTTAATTTAAAATTTTGCCAGTAGAGATAATAAAAACAAAACAAAAATCAACAACCCAATATGCCATATACCATTGCCATATTATTTCATAAAAGAAAGCACTTTTTAAGACTGAAAAAAAAAGGACTTAATATTACAATAAATGATAGTCCTTAAATATTATTAAAAATTCATTTAAAAAAACCCTCATGACAATGACTTATTTTATACATTTCATTGCATATGAGTGGAAATTTTACTGTAGAGCAATGCTTGAATGTACAACGTTTGGGAAACTACTTTTTATCTTTTTTCTAAAGTACAAGCCAACCCCGGCCGGGCGTGGCTCAGTGGTTGAGCATTGACCTAGGATCCAGGCGATCGGGGTTCGATTCCCAGTCAGGGCACATGCCCGGGTTGCGGGCTCGATCCCCAGTTGAGGCGTGCAGGAGGCGGCCGATCAATGACTCTCTCATCATCGATGTTTCCATCTCTCTCTCTCCCTCTCCTTTCCTCTCTCTGAAATCAACAAAGATATATTTAAAAAATAAATAAAGTACAAGCCAAGTATATACATGGAAAATTCTAAGAAAAAATGAGCTGCTGGTTGTCTTACCAAACCTGAGAGAAAACTGGTTGGCATTGGTAGTATTGAACACATGTCAAATAATGATTTACAAATAGGATTTTAAGAGTTGGGGAATTTAAAAGTGGACGGGGTACTCGAGGCATATAGTCCCTCCAGTTAGGGTTAGCTGGCTAAAGGTGCTTCGGTGGAGTCCATTAACAATGATCATTCTGGGACCAGACAGTGACTCATGCTGCGGAATTACAGCCACCTTCACAGCTGCCTGGTGAGCTGCACTTGTTACTCTCTAGAGGCAGACAAGGAGGGAGCCTTCAACCTGGTGAACCATCTTAGCACAAGCCAATGAACCACTCATATGAAAAAAACCACCACGCAGCCCCATCTTTACATGCTGCACTCATACTTGCCTAACCTGCCTCATGCTAATATTTTTAAGGTAAAGACCTGAAAAGAAGAGGAAGTACTACAGATCACCTAACTCTCACCACAGCCACACAGCCAAGGACAGTTCCAATGTTTCCGGCTGAATGGAGTACTGAAGATCACACATTATGTAGAAACACGGACACCACCCACGTTAGACACATTTACAACACAAGTCAAAGGTGCATATGTCAAAGGGTATATGGCCTCACCATAATGTTCTAATTACACTCTGCACCCAAGGATATTATTTCAGTCTTTGTGGACCACAAAGTAGATAAAGACAAGTTCAGCTGGTGAGACGAGCCCTCAAGTCAAGGTTAACATTTCAAGAGCCTAAGGTGGATTTTCCCCCTGAGAAGTATAGCTTTTACCTGTTGCGTATAAAGATCAATTTTGGATTGTGCCTCAGGAGAGAGTTCGATATCTCTGGCTCCGTAGACGGCCTGGGCAATGGTTCTTATCTTTTCCACAATTGGAAGCTGGAGAAACACAAATGATGGCAAAATCATTAACTCTAATCTGGTCACAGAATTAAGGGAAAGTTAGTGAGATTTTCTGCAACTGTTTGCAATTCCCCACCAGCTTCCCCCTTCAGCAACTATGGCATTCGAAGCAAACACCCTTCTCCTTCTGTCACTTCTGAAGTACTAACATTTTCAGATCAGTGGTCAACTAGCAAACAAGAAGTCTTAGATGTTCAGCCAATTTAGAGGCTGCTTATCTAGCTCACCATTTTCATCCACTGCAGAATTTTTAGAAAATGCAGTGTCTCCTGTGTTTTTTTTTAAACATATCTTTATTGATTTCAGAGAGAGGAAAGGAGAAGGAGAGAGAGAGATAGAAACATCAATGACAAGAGAGCCATTGATCCAGCCCACAACCTGGCATGTGCCCTGGCTGGGAATCGAAACCCGATGGCCTGGACCCTAGGTCGATGCTCAACCGCTGAGCCACGCCCGGCTGGGCTCCTGTGCTTTTTAATGGGCTTATAAGTCAGAACAACAGCCTCCTCACTAAATACTTAGTGCTGATTTCTAAGTGGGTCTCTACTCCAGTTATATGACAGAGAACGTAGCATTACTGAAGAACTGTTTATTTTTTTGGGAGCGGGAATAGGTTGAGATTTTAATATATGTGCTGATGTGATCAAACATTCTATTGGGAAATCGAAGGTTGAATCTAGTGTCACTTTAGCAAATTATGAGAAATCTTGGAGAATGGGGAAAATCCAGGAACACTAGAAATGGGCAAATAAGTGTGTAGGGAAAAGATGAAAAATCTTCCATGACGCTAAATGGAAAATATGGATGCAGATTGCTGGCAAAATATTAAAAGCAATCTTAAGAAGCAAGAATGGCTCATTAGGAAAGGAATATGCCACAGACAAAGTGATTCTTGAGGTAAGTGAAGCAATTGACAAAATCGTTCAGAATTTGCTGCGAGTAGAAAATTCAGGCCTAATGCAGTGAGTGGGTTCACTCTTGGGTGAACAGTTGCTGGACCAATTGCTGATGGAATGGACAACACCCAAGGAGCAGAAGTCGCTCGTGGCCTGCCTCAAGGACTTCACTTGGCAATGGCAAATGGTACTTTTGTATAAATTACTGTCGATATACACAGGAAAGAGAATTACCCAACAGGGGAACATAAAAGGTAACTCCACCCTCCCAATCTGATAGAGCCCAAAACTGCTTTAGAATGTGTTTTTCATTACTACAGCTTTTATTACTGTAAAGTTGTCCTGTGGTCTGGAACTTAAATATTGGACGTTTCAACAAATAAGAAAGAAATGAAGATGCAAGTCATCATAATCTTTCGTTGAAGGACAAAAAAGAGCATCTGAATCATTAGAGAGAAAGGCTTTGTTCACGGACGAGGGAATGTGATGCTGACAGAACAAAGGCATAAACAGGTAAGATAACTTCAGGAATAAATAAAGCCAAAAGAACAAAGGTAGCAGGACTTGCCTCACCACCTTTCCAGGTAGCAATCATACTGCGAAACTATGCTAAGTAGTCCCATGTGGTCCTGGCACGGGGCTCAAAGAATCGATCAGTAGAAGAGAAGGAGCCCAGAAAGGCGCCTCAGCGGGGGGGATAGTATGTAGCAGGAATGGCACAGAACAGGGAGAAGGCTGCCTATCCAACTAAATTTTGGCTGGAAAGACATAAAATTAGATTCCTACCACACACCAGGCCCCACATAAATCCAGTATGGACAGAACAAAGGCATAAACTTCAAAATTAAAACTAAATATTGAAAGGAAACACTGGGAACTCTATGATCTGAAGGTAGAAAAAAAATTTTCTTAAACAAGGAAACAACACACTTCATCCTAAAGGAAATGATTTATAGATCTGACTACAACAAAAATTGAAAATTTTGCATATAAAAAAAGACACTGTAAGTAAGATTAAAGGATTGGGAACGATCTAGGAGAAGACATATGCAAATATTTTAAAGTCAAAAGATTACCTTTCTGGTAACTAATAAAAAAACAACCCTTCCACAAGTCAAGAGAAAGACAAACACATATTTACTACCAGGCAAATGGAGTGTGACTGAGCATCACATGAAAAAATGCTCATTCTCATTAGTAATCAAGGAGTGCAAATTACTAAAAATCCAGCGCACATCCATTAAGATTAGCAACACTGAAAAGTGTGAGAATATCTAGTGTAGGTGACGATACGGGGAAAATGATCCTTCCTAGTGCTCTTGGAAAGCTTCCTAACCGGTCTCTTTGCTTTTAATATACCCTCTGCTCTACCGCAAGTCTAACCTTCCCAAAATGTACCCAAGTAAGGGAAACTCAAAAATCTTCACCTCCCCATGGCCTAGTGGAGAAACCTGGTTCTGACACCTAAGCCTCTGCATGAAGTGCTCTGAAGCATCACTAGATAATTCCCTCTATCTTCTTGCTTTTGGGCCCTGCATGAAGCCCCTGTCACCTTCAAAGGTCAACCTCAGCTAAAACTCCCTGAGCTCACTAAGATCTATCTCAAAGGCCAGCTTCTCCAGGAAACCTTTACTGACACCTCCTCCCCCCACAGATTGGCATTCTCCTCTCTGATGTCCACATGCCCATGTCACACTTTTATCTGGATGATACCCAGGACAAGAGGTTCAACAGGCCTGGCAGGGAGTAGCTGCCAGCAAAGCTTACGCTATCTTGGGTGCAGTGATGGACCTCAAATAGTAATAGTCCCAGGATCAAAGTCTGCCACTGAAACCTACTGAATGGCAAGAGGCCTTCTGTAAACCATGTCACAGGAGAAATCAGAGAAGAGTCTCCACCTCCACAAGGGAAAACTCTGGAATGATTATCATCTGCCAGGAAGGCAGGATAGGAAACGAGGACAGAAATTAGAAGTAATTTTTAGCCCAATATTTAAGGAAGAGCTCTAACACTAAGAGCTTCCTCATTAAGTAGTGACTGTCCATTTGGGGAGCATTCAGCTTCCTATTGACTTTTATTTCTTAAAAATAAAANACTAAGAGCTTCCTCATTAAGTAGTGACTGTCCATTTGGGGAGCATTCAGTCTTTGGCAGGATGGTGCCAGGAACCTTGTGGCAAGAGTGACTGCATGAGTGTAAAGTTGAGGCTGGGCTAGAGAGAAACCTTGAGGGCAACTTCGAATGTAAAAGATTCAGTGTTCACATTAGCTGAAGAATAAAAGAATGACCTACAAACTCTTTGAGATCAAGGACCATCTCTTGTTCACTTAGAGGTGGGATATAAGATGCCCCTGGAGTATATAGTTTGTCCTCAAGATAATGTACAGTTGAACAAATGATGCATGTTTCTAAATTTCCTATTAACATGGACTCCATGTGGTTCAACAGTTAAAGAGATGGTAAGAAAGTCCAGGAAATGCTGTGCTCAAGACAACATTGAGAGGACTTTTTACATGAATCTACCATCTTTCTCATCAGCATAGTGAGCTGATGGGCACTGAAATGCCTGCTGTTGATGCTGCACTTAAGCTAATATGATCTCCTCTCAGGTCAATAAATGCCTTGCAAGGAGCAGCCCTTTTTAAGAAATAAAAGTCAATAGGAAGCTGAAAGATATTTCTAGCACCCACACAGCAAGCATGATGACTACACTTTGTCAGGGAAGTCAGTCCTCAGGATACTGTGTTCCCTAGGCAGTGTCCCTGCAGCATCCAGGCTCTGCCTGCCCCCCTGCCCCCTCCTGGGCCATTCTAGCCCTCTGTGGGTGCCACCGCACAGTTGGGGGCTGTTGTGGGGCACGGGGCCCGAGGAAGAACAGGGCCCCTTCCTAATCTGGTTAAATCAAGTAACCTCTCTAAATGTGTTTCCTCACCCTTGGGATGGAGACGTGAATAATCTACTGCACATCATCTCACTGCAGTGTGTAAGCAATGAGGGAAAGTGTTCAAGAGTCACACTACACAAACCTCAAGCAATATTATTATGGAGTGAGGGCAACAGGGACTAAGAGGATATATTTTCTCTGGAAGTAAAACAAAATGACAACAAAACAGATATTACTACTTATAACATTTAATGAATAGAGCGCACTATATACTGCACTCTATGATTTGAAAATAAAGTCAGCAAGTGTAACTTTTTATTACGGTGATCATTAAAGAACTCGCATGGGAACAAATGGATGACAAGTGAGGGTATTAGTGTGGGGAGGTATTTAGTCAGTTTATTATTAGGTTTTAAACATGAGAATACTTGATTATTTCAAGAAATATATACATTTAATTTTTTTAAAAAAAATGTATCTTTATTGATTTCAGAGAGAGGAAAGGAGAGGAAGAGAGAGAGAGATAGAAACATCAATAATGAGAGAGTAATTGATCGGCTGCAGCCCACAACCCGGGCATGTGCCCTGACTGGGAATTGAACCCCGATCGCCTGGATCCTAGGTCGACGCGCAACCGCTGAGCCACGCCCGGCTGGGCTACATTTAATTTTTAATTGTGGTAAAACAGACATAACACAGAATTTACCATCTTCAGACCATTTTTAAGTGTGTAGTTCCATATTCTTAATTACATTCACGTTGCTGTAAAACCAACCTCCAGAGCTCTTTTCATCTTAGAAAACTGAAACTCTGTACCCATTAAATACCAGCTCCTCTTCCCCTGGCAAGTCATTCTATTTTCTGTCTCTATGACTGACTGCCCCAGGTACCTCAGATACATGGAATGATACACGGACAATGGATGTCCTTTTGCATCCAGCTTTTCATTTAGCGTAATATCCTCGAAGTCCATCCATGCTGTAGCGTGTGCCCAAATTTCCTTCCTTTTTAAGGCTGAAGAATGTTTCATGTGCATTTATCACATTTTAAAAATCCACTATCTCCCAGTAGACACTCGGGCTGTTTCCACCTTTGGCTATTGTGAGTAATAATGCTGCTGTGAGCATGGCCAGACAAATATCTCCTGGAGATCCAGGTTGCAATTCCTTTGGGCATAAGGAAATAAAAATTTTTTC